TTGCTCCCCTTCCATTTTCATTTACGTATTAAACAGCAGCTTCCAGGCCTTTCACCACGTGACCGCACTCTCACTAGGTACCAGCACTCTGCACCTGGCTCTCCAAATGCACAGTCTACACCAGAACTGTTCACAGAGGCTATAGGGGACACAAAAGACAGTTTTACCTTTGACTTTGTTTTCTTCTTGACTCAAAGTATGTGACAGATGTAAGGATGCGTGACGCTTAAAAGAACAGGCACTGAGGGCAGAGCAGTGTCTGAGAATGTTTGCAGAGCCCTGTTCTGGGAACGGTCGTGTATTCTTATTGATGGGATCCAGGATCAGAGCAAATAGTGATTTTTTTTTTTGCCCAAAATAAGTCAGATCGGTTTGCTTCCCTGCTCATTTTCCTTATCATTTGCCAGTGCCCCACCGTATCTCACATCTGCTTCTGCTTCTGCTCCGGCCACTCGGGTCTGCTTGCTGTTTCTAGAATAGAATATGCAGGCATCTCAAGATCTTTACACTTGATGTGTCTTCTGGGAATGCCGAAGAGATTGCATTCTTTCTTTGGGCATGAGGCCATGCCACTTTAGGATTGTGAGTCAGGGAGTGGCATCAGTCACCTGCGTAATCCACTCTTTGACATAAATATGGTCATGTCCTTCCCCTTTCAGAATCCTGTAGCTGCCTCCCCTCACAGCACGACATCCAGATCCCATAGACCGGCTGAGGAGCTCTCTGTCTCTCACTCTGGCCTTGACACTTCATGTTCTAGCACTGCCCACAGAGGGAGGGTGACTGAGGGAGGATGCGTTCGCCCTGTACTCTTCCATCAGCTCCCTACTTCCTCTGAGCAAACCCAAATAAACATTTAAGAAACTTACAAAAACTGCTTATGTACAAACCAAGCTTCCAGACAAATCTCCAACCCAAGCCTTCCAGATTGAGTACTTAATTCCATCCAACACAGAATGGCAGGAGCCATGGTGAACAATATTATTTGGAGTTTCCTACTCACAGCAGATTTCCCCTTCTGCTGAGAAATGCTTTCTTTTCTTTTTTCTCTTCTTTTCTTCTTCCCAGCTTTATTGAGATAAAATTGACTTACAACGTTGTGTAAGTTTAAGGTATACAACATAATGATTTGATGTATGTATGTATTGTGAAATTACCACCACAATAATCTTGGTTGATACATCATCTCATATAGTTACTTTTCTTTCTTTCTTTCTTTCTTTCTTTCTTTCTTTCTTTCTTTCTTTCTTTCTTTCTT